CTTAAAAATTTTGTTTTGCACCTTTACACAAACACGAAAACGTACACACACATACACACAGAGGCATATCCAACCACACACATACACACAGAGGCATATCCAACCACACACATACACACAGAGGCATATCCAACCACACATACACACAGAGGCATATCCAACCACACACATACACACAGAGGCATATCCAACCACACACAGAGGCATATCCAACATACACACCATCCAACACACACACACACACGTACAATTGAGGGAGTATCGGGTAGTGACATTATGCTGAAGGGAATGCTGTTGTGGATGAGTTTTAATAAGACCGCCCCCTCGACCATTTCCTCGGTCCTTGCGGTAAATCGCGTAATCCCTGAAGACTGGGGTTTTGAAGCTTTTTGACAGCTTAGATTCTTGGAGGGCTGCGATGTGAATGTTGTGGTCTATTGAATGCTGTTGAATTACTTCATGTTTGTTTTTGATGCTGTTACAGTTGAGTTGAAGAAAATTTAACTGTCCAGCATTTGGTGCTTGGGTTGTTGTTAGTTTGTTACGGGGGTTGTGAAGTATCAATCGGCGCCGTCAATTGGTCTAATTTTGTTGATGGGCGAGGACAGTTGTTACAGTAGTATTAACCGTTTATGTTGGTCGTGCAGTTGTTGAGGTGATGACAGTTGTAGCAGGTTCTGCAACGGACTGAAAATCTAGTTAGGTTTAGTTGATTTTGAGGTAGCATCCAGGGCAAATCCAGATTTTTGGGGGACCTGGATTTGAATCAATTTTGGCTCTCAGGAGAAGACAGCGGAGCAGGATGGCCGGAATGGCCCGCTCCGTCAAAAAAAAACCCAGCTTGTTGGAGCGTCTGAGGCAAGCCACCCGTGCCATAGTATCATCACACAACCTCGCCCTCATTGCTACATAGAAACCACTCTTATCTCAAAATGGTCATCAACAATAAATGCGGTCCTACCAACAAAAATTGACCCAACACTCTGAGGAAACCTATTTAATAAACCTACTTACAAACATAGCCAAAGCCGCCGCTGAGTCGAACCAGTCACCGCTATTGCTTGATGGATGGCCTCCTCCAGCACTAAAAATAGATCTTTCAGAAGAATTACTTCTAAGGGCAATCAGACGGATTCTCGCCCAACTCTGATCTGGCCATAGTATTCTTCTAAACAGCTACAAAAACAGAATCGACAGTGGGCACATCAACACCTGTCCTTTCTGCAACAATCACACAGATGATGTTCAACATCTGTTCTCAAAACGCCACAGATCTTCAACCAATAGACCTTTAGAGAAACCCTGTTACAGTGGCGTATTGGCTCCGACCTCGATTGGAATCCTGAAGACCCCCAGAAGTTACGCGTTGTATTTATTCATCCAGTTAATATAGATATCAAAACGGGTTTGAAACGTCCACAAAAAACCTTCATGAATGACCGATGCAAATAATGACGCTTGGGTGGGTACATTGATATTTAAATGAAACAATCGCTAGAGCAAGAGGGCGATTCATCAGTTAATTATTTTTTCACGTCATTTTTATTTACTTATGACTTTAGATGTTTAGACTCACAAACTGTTAAATTTTGAAGAAGTTAATTTTAATTTCCTCTACCATTGAATGTACGATTACAACTATCTTTTTGACAGGCCACCATGAACAGCCCTACATCCTTTTAACTAACATCTTTCAAACTTCTCTGCCTCTCTGAATAGGATTTAATTAGTAGCAGCAAATTTAGTCGCAGGCTAATTTCGGTGAATAAACAAAAGATATTGTCCCAAGCCACCTTTTATTTGTGTAATCCCAATCGTACGACTCTCTCTCCATTTCTCGTCATTCGTGTGAGATGGACCTTAGGACTGCCTAGTCTGCTTTTATTTTGAACCACAGTTGATTGAAGCGAATTATTAGTAGTTAATTGATTAATTAATTGATTATTTGTTTAATTTGTTAATTAATTTTCTTCATCTTCTTAATTAGTCTTCATCTTTATAACTTCTTTATAACGTCATAATTTTGCTACTCTGGCAACAATAAAATTCGACTTATTTTGTTAAACTTTTTTTATGTGTGTGTGAGTCTGTGTGTGTGTGTATGTATGTGTGTGTGTCTTTATGTGGGGTGGTGTGTTTTCCAAAGTTTTACAAATTTATAAAAAGAATTTCTAAATAGAAATAAAATATATTGAGTAATTCACATAGCTTTGGTGATATTATTGGGAGTTAATTGCTTCGACAAAGTAGTACTTGAATAATAGTTAAAAAAACAACATGTGTGTGTGTCTGTGTATGTATTGTGTGTGTGTTTGCGTGCGTGTGTGTGTGCGTGTGTGTTTGTGGTGTGTGTGTGTGTATTTTATCATTTAATTTCAATTACTTCAACATAGCGTTAAATTATTTGGGTGAATTCGCTGCAGACGTTCAACCTAGGCGACGATTAATTTGTCGATATTTTTTTGTTTTGTGAAGAATCTTGTAAACAAAAAACGCGTGAGAAATAATGGATTGTTAGATCTGGTATGATTTATTGTTATTATTAGTGTTAATGTTGTTGTTGTTGTTGTCATTGTTGTCGTTGTTGTTGTTGTCATTGTTGTTGTTGTCGTTGTTGTTGTTGTCGTTGTTGTTGTTGTCATTGTTGTTGTTGTCGTTGTTGTTGTTGTCGTTGTTGTTGTTGTCATTGTTGTTGTTGTCGTTGTTGTTGTTGTCGTTGTTGTTGTTGTCATTGTTGTTGTTGTCGTTGTTGTTGTTGTCGTTGTTGTTGTTGTCATTGTTGTTGTTGTCGTTGTTGTTGTTGTCATTGTTGTTGTTGTCGTTGTTGTTGTTGTCGTTGTTGTTGTTGTCATTGTTGTTGTTGTCGTTGTTGTTGTTGTCGTTGTTGTTGTTGTCATTGTTGTTGTTGTCGTTGTTGTTGTTGTCGTTGTTGTTGTTGTCATTGTTGTTGTTGTCGTTGTTGTTGTTGTCATTGTTGTTGTTGTCATTGTTGTTGTTGTCGTTGTTGTTGTTGTCGTGT